TGCTCAGCCCTGCTCATCTGTTGACGAGGTCTTGGGGCAAGCTCAAGGAGAACACTGATGTAAGAGCTCACCAAATGGAGATTTGGATCTTGCTCGGCCCTGCTCATCTGTTGACGAGGTCTTGGGGCAAGCTCAAGTTATTCACGCCCTTGTTTTTCAAACTTTGATGTAGAATGTAGAATGTAAAATGTAGAACTCCCTTTATTTCTCCCCCTTCTTGTCTGAATTTATTCAGAGGAGCTTCTAACTTTTTGATATTGTATGGGGAGCTTCATATATGTTGATTAGGCCAACCTAATTAACGTGTTCCCTGCACTCTTCCATCTCTAAAATAGCAACACATATATATTTATAATCATGAGTGCAAATGAGCAAAATAGAATGATTATGCTATATATAAAAAATGAGATGGCAAAATGATATCATGTATGCAAAAACAAGTGCATAATGAATGGAAGAAATGTAGAACGAATGCAAGAAATACAGAGAGCAATTAATAATAAATTTTAATATAAGGTTGGACCAAGCCTGGACCAAAGCTCTAGTTTGCTGCGGAGCTTGATTGCTTTCTTGACAACCTGTATCACCAGGACTTGAAAAAAGGAGAAATCAAAGGCATCCAATCTTATAATCAAGAAAGTATACTTCCTTCATACATATTAATGTAAAATTTATACCTTGATATTATTGATATTGGATGAGTTTTATGAAATTTTACTTAATTTACATAATTTTCATGCTTTGTCCTGGAAAGGACTTAATTGGAAGAAGTCACAATTTTTAGGAGTAAATTGCAAATATATGAAATTTGAGGATTAAATTGTGCAGAATCTATAAGTAAGGGATCGAGACTGTAATTTTACCGTTAACAGAATTTGCAAAGAAGGACAAAAACCCGACACGGACTCATCGACACTGATGCAGAAAAGGTGTCGACACATTGTTGAGGGTGTTGACCCTTTGCGATTCATGCTGCACATCTTTCAGGTCGACCTTGGGTAGGATATTTGCATCTCTGCAGCTTGTGCTCGAGCAGGTTGCATGCAGCTCGTGCTCCACATCTTTTAGCTCGACCTCGGGTAGGATGCTTGCAGCTCGGCATCGGGTAGGATGCTTGCAGCTCGGCATCTCGTACTCGACAGATCGTGCTCGAGTTCATCATGCTTTCGAGCTCGGCAGCTCGTGCTGCAGTTCTGCATCATGCCTTTGAGCTTGGCAGCTCGTGCTTGAATTCTGAATCGTGCTTTTGAGCTCGTCAGCTCGTGCTTGAATTCTGCATCGTGCTTTTGAGCTCGGCAGCTCGTGAGCTCGTGCTTGAGCAAGATGCAACTCCTGCTCCACATCTTGCAGCTCGTGCTTCAGCACTTCACAACTCATGCTCCAACAGTTCACAGTTCGTGCTCTTGCAGACTTCGCAACTCGCGCTGCAGCAAGGATTTTGCAACTCGTGCACCAAGCAGGAAGTTCGTGGCTCATGCTCCAGCTGGGACTGTCATACTGGCAAGCTGCCGAGTCAGGGACTCATCTCTTGGATTCTGCAAGAACAAATTCAAGAAGGAGGAAGATCCCAACTT